AGCTAGTTGAGCTGCATCTAATATCCATGGCTGAAATAAGATAATTAGTTCATTGGCCCACACAACCACACTTTAATGAACTTCCAAAACGTTTGGACCAAATCAAGATAGAGAGGGAAAATGGTATCAGTTTAGTTGAACTGGTCTTATAGTTCAAAAATTCCACAAGCCTGTTGTTGATATTTTCTTTTTCTTTTTTTTTTACTTTTTTTATTTTTTTCTTTACCCTCCCAATTAACTAATTGATGTTGTAGTTGACCATGCATAACATTTTATTAAGTAATCCCACAGCTTGAGCAACTGAACTTTCACATAAAACTGAACTTCAAAACTTTGATTACAAATTTTTCGTGTCATCCCAGGAATGGTTGTTAAAATCATACAATTCACTATTCAATTCATACGATTTGATATGAGTTTCATATAAAGGATTTGAATCGTGCTGTTGAATTGGAACCTAAGTGAATCTTTCAATTCAACTTGTGATTCACTACAATTCGTTGCGCCTCTATTTTTGTCTTTGTTTACATAATGCATAAAATGATGTCATTTTCACTAAACTATTAAGATATATAGAAGAGATTTATTAGTTATACTAACATACGCGATTTTATATGTATACACATATATACATTTAGTTATATTGCTAATTTACTTTATTTTAAACAGTGTATTTTTATTAGTATATAAATATATAAAATTACATATCATATTAAATAAATGAATCTTACGAATCATGATTCGATATTATTCATGATTCACTATTTTAGCAAACAATTCACTATTTGATTTGCGATTTGACAACAATGAATGATCCCAGGTGTATTGCAAAGATTGATGATTTTCAAAAACATGTTAACAGGATAGGCATCTCAGTAACTAAAAAGCAAATCAACCAGTAATAACTATGCAATTATACATGCCCCAAATGACAACTGGCTACTAGTTCAACAGAAAAAAAAAAAAAAAATGACAACTGGATAAATACAAGAGAAACTTCGATGACATAAGCCTACAATTCCAAAATAATCTCACCAAATCAGTAAATCTTAGTCAGACATCATTAAATGGGAAAAACTAACATAGGTGGTTAGAATGAGAAACATTATTCTTACCTATGGGATCTTTAATGATGTCATAATAGTCAGGCACATCACGTGCATCAACATTATTCTTACCCAAAGATGAATATTAAAAAATAGAGGGGTTGCCAAATTTTTGTTCTTATCCAATAGCTGACCTCATAAAAGGGGTTCAGAAAATATATAATTAAACAGAAAAGAGAGAAAAGAAAAAAAGAGAGAGAAAGAAACGGAAACAAAGAAAAGAAGAAGACAACCATACAGGGAGAAGAACGAAGACGATGAGACGAAGGAGAAAAGAGAGAGAGAGAGAGAGAGAGCTACCTGCGAATCTGCGATTGCTTCAATAGGGACATTCAAAAGCTTCGACAGCTTCGCCTAGGGTTTACAAGTGAGCGACTTCTTCTCCCTCTCTCTCTCTCTCTCTCTCTCTCTCTCCACTCGCAATGTCCCTCAAGTGTCTCTGAGTGTGTCCGCAAAGTGTCCGATTGGAAAAATTAAAAAAAAAAAAAAAATTCTAGAAGCGTTAAAGAGTGTCCGACACGCGTCCATCGCATGTCCGTGTCCGACACGTGTCGGACACGGACATGCGATGGACGCGTGTCGGACACTCTCTCTAACGCTTCTAGAATTTTTTTTTTATTTTTATTTTTCCAATCGGACACTTTGCGGACACACTCACAGACACTTGAGGGACATTGCAAGTGGAGAGAGAGAGAGAGAGAGGGAGAAGAAGTCGCTCACTTGTAAACCCTAGGCGAAGTTGTTAAAGCTTTTGAATGTCCCTATTAAAGCAATTGAAGATTCGCAGGTAGCTCTCTCTCTCTCTCTTTTCTCCTTCGTCTCATCGTCTTCGTTCTTCTCCTTGTATGGTTGTCTTCTTCTTTTCTTTGTTTCCGTTTCTTTCTCTCTCTTTTTTTCTTTTCTCTCTTTTCTGTTTAATTATATATTTTCTGAACCCCTTTTATGGGGTCAGCTATTGGATAAGAACAAAAATTTGGCAACCCCTCTATTTTTTAATATTCATCTTTGGGTAAGAATAATGTTGATGCACGTGATGTGCCTGACTATTATGACATCATTAAAGATCCCATGGGTAAGAACAATGTTTCTCATTCTAACCACCTATGTTAGTTTTTCCCATTTAATGATGTCTGACTAAGATTTACTGATTTGATGAGATTATTTTGGAATTGTAGGCTTATGTCATCGAAGTTTCTCTTGTATTTATCCAGTTGTCATTTTTATTTTTATTTTTTGCTGTTGAACTAGTAGCCAGTTGTCATTTGGGGCATGTATAATTGCATAGTTATTACTGGTTGATTCGCTTTTTAGTTACTAAGATGCCTATCCTGTTAACATGTTTTTGAAAATCATCAATCTTTGCAATACACCTGGGATCATTGTTGTCAAATCGCAAATCAAATAGTGAATTGTTTGCTAAAATAGTGAATCATGAATAATATCGAATCATGATTCGTAAGATTCATTTATTTAATATGATATGTAATTTTATATATTTATATACTAATAAAAATACACTGTTTAAAATAAAGTAAATTAGCAATATAACTAAATTGTATATATGTGTATACTTATAAAATCGCGTATGTTAGTATAACTAATAAATCTCTTCTATATATCTTAATAGTTTAGTGAAAATGACATCATTTTATGCATTATGTAAACAAAAACAAAAATAGAGGCGCAATGAATTGTAGTGAATCACAAGTTAAATTGAAAGATTCACTCAGTTTCCAATTCAATAGCACGATTCAAATCATTTATATGAAACTCATATCAAATCGTATGAATTGAATCGTGAATTGTATGATTTTAACAACCATTCCTGGGATGACACGAAAAATTTGTAATCAAAGTTTTGAAGTTCAATTTTATGTGAAAGTTCAGTTGCTCAAGCTGTGGGATTACTTAATAAAACGTTATGCATGGTCAACTACAACATCAATTAGTTAATTGAGAGGGTAAAGAAAAAAATAAAAAAAGTAAAAAAAAAAAGAAAAAGAAAATATCAACAACAGGCTTGTGGAATTTTTGAACTATAAGACCAGTTCAACTAAACTGATACCATTTTCCCTCTCTATCTTGATTTGGTCCAAACATTTTGGAAGTTTATTGAAGTATGGTTGTGTGTGGCCAATGAACTAATTATCTTATTTCAGCCATGGATATTAGATGCAGCTCAACTAGCTTAAAAATTTGTTCATGGCCATCTGCCTTCGACAGTGTAATATGTGACTTTGGTGCAAAAAAATTGT